ACACTTTGGAGAGAAATTTGTCTAAAAAGAAAATAGAAGAAAATCGCATTATTCCTATTCTTCTAAATCCAAAATTCAATACCCGTTACCATGAGAGGAATGATGGCATTATACGAAAAAAAAAATAACTCATGGCTACTTTGTTCTGCTTACTTCCTCAAATGAAATTGAGGAAAAAACATAACCACTTTGGACAGAAGGTCAGACAACTTGGAACCAGTTTGTTAAGAAATAAGACAGACGGCAATTTATTGGTTGTTGTCATTGAATCATCGCTCCTTACTTTTTTCATCGAAGTGATATTATTTGAAAATGAACGACATTAAAGAACTTCGTGATCTCCCCTTAGCTTCCATCACAATCAAATTTACAATTTCCTTACAGGAAGAGAATCAAACTGGACCTGCACTGGAACATCAAAATTTGAATAAAAATCTAAGCGTGCCTTTACTTTATATTGATAGGAGGCTCAAAAGCGCAACAAAGATTGGTTGATGAGGAAGCGCGATTGCCTTGCAAGTCGCACTCAAACGCCAATTCTGGCAATGATTCGGCTCTATTCAAGATATGCCATGCTGATTTCTCTCGCTATATTTTGGTTTCTTCCATTGAATTACGTTCAAATTCTCAAAAATCGGCAGTGATGCGCTGCGTATCCGAATTTCGGCCAAAATCGATATTTGTCTGCGGCACCGCACTCTCGACCGGCCAATCCGTCTGCGCTTTCAAACGTTACAAAGATTGGCCGATCCATATGCAGTATGGAGGACCTAACTGTATGACTGAAGATACCTAGACGCCATATACAACAAGCAAACAGAGAACAAAAAACAATTTATCGAAACTCTTAAACAGAAAATCTAGGAACGGTATGATAACGATAAGGTACGCAGCAACACACGGGATTTAGGCTCGCCAGCGCCCACGTATCTAATCGAAATCACTTACTGGCCGGCAGTTGCGCACTAACAATATAACCAAAACAGAGAGAAGAAGAGCAACAATCGGGGGACGCTCAACGCCCGCCGCGCCTAAGCACCCAAGCGCGCCTATCTTACAATTATTACAAAACAACGTTCAAATAAATAAAAGTATGTATATGTGCATTTTACAAGTGCTTAACAGAGAGAGCGAGGGTGAGGCCCCCGCCAATAACAAAAAGGTAAAACGTATATCGACAATTAAAACCGGACGGTAGCGAAGTGTTCGGGAGAGAAAAGCTCTGAGTGGAGACTAATGTACTACTCGTGGGAACGCAAACTCAGCTAGTTTGATGATCGAGTACTTATTCAATGTGGTCCACCCTCACGATGAAACATCCACGACAAGCACTTCCTCTTCGACTATTCAGTACGCGACCTGGGCTGTCCTACCACACACTCACTCACAATACACGCTCTTAAACACAATTAAATACAAAAAGCTAAGAACCAACCAGAAACTTATAACAAAATGACAAACAACGGGGTCATCGGGAAGTCAAAATTAGGTGGGGATGAGGGACTCAACAAATTGCAGCTCGCCATGGCCTCACAAAGAGAACCATGTCGAGCCATAACAGCAACAGACACTCCCTTCCAGGAAATGATTAGTCGAAGATACAGCTTCAAAATTCTAAAGGAGACGTGACAAGATGCACACAGTGCCCTGCACTGTTACATTGTGGCACCGATTAAAGAACATCTACTGCTGAGCACCACCGGCACTACGTTGGAAACGATAGAGGTAGAGACGGTAATCCTTCGAAGCCAGCACTACGCTGGTCTCGTCCACTAGAGCAACGTCAAAGCACTGAGCATGCTTCACTTTTGATTCGAGAGCACCAATCATAACGCCGTCCTGAAAAATATATAAAGATTGATTTAGCACCTTGCCTCTGAATACGATGACAGCCATTGGCCATAATAAGCTACGGCGAAGTTACCTGCGAAAACACGGTTAGATTGAAATTGTTATGATTGTCTGCAACGACAACATCGCCCATAGCATTGATAGCGACGCCAATCGGGTAATTAGTAATTCCTTCACCACCAACTTGACGTAGGAATTGTCCCTCATAAGAGAATACCTAAAAATAAAAGCTATGTGAATAGTAACAAGCTAACCAAATAAAACCACCAAAGAAAATATTTTAAAAAACCTTGATGCAGTGAGCGCGATTGTCTGAAATCAGTATTTCGTTCTTGTCATTCGTACATACACCATTTGGAAACTCGAGGTAACGAGAACAGCTAAACTTCTGTAGGATATTTCCAAACATGTCGAAAATGATGACCCGCATCACCTAAAAGTCGCCAATATGTCTTAAACAAGAATACCATTTTGATCTGAAAGAGAAGAGCGATATAACTAAGATCGCATTGTTTTAGTTTTATTTGTTCTATGATTTTCTGTAACTGAGAATTGACTAAGATAACGAGATCACGCTTACGTACGCATAAAGTCGTCCAAAATGTTTGCTTCTAATGCTCGCTAAGTCAGAACTGTGGTATGTCTATAATGGTCCCCCCTCTATAAGGAGTTTTTAAAGAAGTTTCCTTACAAGGAAAGTTGATTGATCGAACTAGCATTCTAAAATGGGATAACCGCTATTGATATTAACTTGGAACAATGATTCCAAATCTGCGAAGCCTTCATATCGCTAAGCGTTTTTGTGAAAATTATGCATGTCTGTCAAATATGGTTTACAGGGTCTGGATTAAAATGCTCGAATGTTCAACTTTAACCCAACCAGAGCGCAAAAAGAAAATGTTAATGAAACACGTCTTCAAAAAAAAAAATAACTCGTGCTTGCTGTTTCAAGTAGAACTTGATTTTGCAGAGCAGTTATTGACGAGTCACACAGGCTAACTTTGCCACTTTCCACAACCACTTCGAAAAAAAAAAAA